TATATAATACATTAAATTATACATGTATGACATTATGCATGTATGGTATGTATGCATATGAATTATACGAAGATTAACGAATGTTTAAAGCGATCCGATATTTTAATGTAAATGCACTAGAACACATCAATATCAATCATATCAGTATGTTAATCACACAATTTCATCGATGCTCTCTTCTCTCTTTATTTCAGTCACCATTTCTCGAAACATGAGATGTACATAAATGGTGTTAAGCAAGAATCGAAGAGTAAATTCAGAGCTTTTATGGAATACAAAGGTCAGTCTCTAATTGATGATCCATTTCTTCTGGATAAATCCTTTTTTTGCTTTTCCAAGATTATCATTTTACTTGTTAGATAGCATCTGTCTGTTTTTTTAATTGAACGAATGTATTGATTGATTGATTAAAAATTTTGGGTGGCTCTTTCAATAGGCATATGTTCATCATATTTAAAAACGCGTTCCCGAAGTCACTTGCTTGTGAATGATTCCATAAGAAGTGAAAGTTAATTTTTGAAAAAGTTCGTTTGGAATATTTGGTTGTTGGCGTGTTTTATCGGTTAAATTAAAAGTACTTGATGATATTATGTTAATTCAACAGACAGCATAGCTTGAGTACCACATATAAAGAGCGTTTGATGGATCAACCATTAAAATGCATCTTGAGGTATAGAGAATGTGGTGTTTGTATTCAAGTTGTTCATTCTATTGACGCAACGTTATTTCGGGGTATGCTTGAATATCCAAAAACGTAAAAGTTATAGTTGAGAGAAGCATTAACAATTTGGAACGAATACATCAAAAGTTTGATCTTTTGATTGAAAGTAAACTCAGCTATCGACTTGCAACACAAATGATCGAAAACGCGTCATCATCGTAATCGTTATGGAAACAGTAAATGATAGTGAATTGAAATGGTATTGAAAACGAGTCATGAATAAAAGCATAGATATTTTAAAGTATGCCACTCATATTGACACTTTTTATACTTTTTATACAGTTCATCCATCAACGTTTTGTCAGTCTTAACCAGGCGATTTGATTTCTACGGTCTTCCTCACGCGAACATAAACTGTTTGATGAAATATACATAGCTGTGGATATCGATGTAAGTATCCATATTTATGAGTACAACATGTAGTTGTTGTTTTAATAGGAGTATAGCCTATGAGACCGAAACTCTAAATGTATACTGATTGTCTTTTCTGCAGGACCTGAAGGTGGCTTCAAAGTGAAGCTAGCAGATAATCCAGATGAGGATCTTTCTGAAGAAGAATTGGATGACGTGAGTGAGCAGAATGAAGACAATCGATCTCAATTTTCCGAAATTCCCGAAAACCAATCGGCTGTCTTCTCAGTTGGTACAATGGGCCGTGTGCCAGCAATGAAAGAAAAAGTTAAAAAGCGCCTTGAAAAGGCATGGCATGCAGCGAAAGAGCTTGTCGATTCGGAGCAGCGATACGTTGAAAAACTGCATCTGCTTGATGAGGTTCAGTATTAGAAACATGAAGAGGATTTCATCATGTTGTTTTCTTTATGAGGCGATTCCGCTGTTTAGTGCATTATTGTTGCTTAATTTTTTAAAATTTCGTTTAGATTCCTTCTTTAATGTTATATTATTGAACTGACAAAACAAAGACGTTATTGCTTAGATGAAATTTATTATAAAAAATAACTTGACTGTTTTACAGTAGTGGTCAACATATCTTTTAAAAGGAATGTATGTCAAAATGATTAAACGTCCTTTAAACGAGCTTGCTTATTGCTTTCAGCTAAAATTATCTCGTGCTGAAAATTCAGTTGCATTTTGGATACGGTAAACATTTGTTGGGATGGGTGAAATTCCATTACGTTACAAAGCAGTTTATTGTAGGTGTTTCGAAAGCGTATTGTGGATGAAAAGGTTGTAGAAAAAGATAAATTGAGTCAACTGTTCGCCAATATATCAAGTTTGCATCAGTTTCATAACACCCATCTTCTGCCAGCATTAATGGATAGTTGCAGAGAGTGGCACACCACGCACAGGTATCGCATTATGATTGCGACTCGTCAGCAAATACTGAATTCTTATGCATCATTCTGAAGTTATTTTTATCAGTGTTTGCGAAATTGGGGACGTAGTTGAATTGCTTAACCGATCTTTGAGCATCAAGTTTAACTGACATTGACATTCAATGAAAAAAAGATTTTATGCTTATAGCAAAAATAATTTGAAAATATTCCTGAAAAATCCTGAGATTTGGCTGAGAATGAGCCCAAAAGGCAGAGTCAAGAATCTGATTTTAGGAGTTCGTATAGAATAAATTCGATTGAATATTCTCGAATGATTTTTACATTTAGGATAAGTGGCGTATTACGGAAACGTGCACCTTTCCTTAAAATGTATTCTGAATATACCAACAATTATAAAAGAGCTACAAAAGTGTTTGATGAATGCTACAAAAAGAAACGTCGATTTGCACAAATCGTACAAGAGATTGAGGTATAATGTTGTGTTCAAATGACAAATTCATTTTGTTGATAACTCATTCTAATCTAGTACCTGTTACGTTTGACAGTCTGAATCTTACCTATTCTTTGATCGATGATGTCAAGTTTTTTGACAATCATTCGGAAAATATCGCTTGCTTTCTTCTTTATAGTATTTCTGTTGGTGATACGTTTTTAATTCACTTCAAGAAATGAGTTATGAATATCACAATTTCAGCAGTTACCGGAATGTGAAAATTTACCGTTAATGTCGCACCTGATTTGTCCTGTTCAACGGGTGATGCGCTATCAATTATTACTGCAGGTGCTTACTCGATTTTTAACTCTTTTCCCATCATGCATTGAGTGCTTCTGCCGAGCAGCCATGTCATAAAACTGTTTGTAGCTATATTTAGTTTTTTATGCCTCCCAAAATTTGACAAGAATTTGCTTGAACGAAAGTTATAAGCAAGCCCAGTCCGAATTTTTTTCTGAAATTCTTCTGTCGGAAACTGTCCTGAATTCGAATTGATCTCTTTAACATTTGTTAAAATGGTGCAATTTGTTATGTGAAAAACTGAACGGATTCAACAATGTGGTATAGATGATTACCTGATTTGCACAGTTTACGTGATTGACAAATGTCATGAACGAAAGAAGACAGTTCATATGTGAAAGATATGCAATTTATTTAAGGAATACAAAAAACATCTGGATAGTACAGATCCTGATTATGAGGATACTGAAGAGGCGCTCACACTTGTTCTTGATGCTGCGAGTCATGCAAATGAAATGATGCGCAAGCTGGTATGGTTCAGTCATTAACCGGCTTAGTCGTTTTAAGAGAAGGCGATTTTTGAACATGATAGATTTATTATAGGACCGATATAGAAACGTTCTTGAAGTACAGGAGCAATTGGGAAACACAATCTCGCTTGTGTCGCCTAGTCGTGAGTTGGTCAAACGTGGAAAACTTTCGAAGGTAATGACAGCTGTTTTTTTTGCCCTCAGAATTATGTTTTTTTTTCATTTCAGTCAGCAGGCTATCAAGACTAGACACTGCTTTATGTTTTATGTGAGCCAGTTCAATTTTGTCTTATTCAATTCCGTATCAAGATTCCTTCTTCAAGAATAAGTTTCATGAAGGGTTTTGTTGTAATGATGGGCAACATTTTTTGTATGCATTCCTAGTAATTCTGTGTTGTTTTGGATGTGAAGCAATTGTCACACGTTCTCAGAAATGTATCGAGAAAACGTTTCAGATATCATCGTCTTCAGACAAAACAGAGGATCGTTTTCTGTTCCTGTTCAACGATCTTCTTCTACTCGCTTCTGAGCGTACATTACCTGCATTCGGCAAATACAAAGTCAGAGCGGTATTCGACGCAATCTTAACTCAAGTAATATTAGGAAGCCTTCTTTTTGTTTTCAATTAACCGTCTCATTCTAGTTGAATCTAAAAATGAATATACATCAGCCGCGTTGAGTACAGACACATTTCTTTATCCACTCTCATTATGCGATTTGTTCTTCTTGAGTTCCCGGCTATACAATTAGCCGGAAACTGAAGTAAATCCTCGCTGTATTTTGTTGCGATATCGTTATTGACAAGTAATGTGAAGCTGAAGAAAAGCGTTCGATGTATTTTTTTTACTGAATGCTCAGCGATTGATTTCGAGGTGTTTTTCTTCTGTAATCCGAACAGATTTTATCAGTTGGTCGCAAACATGCTCACCGAGCAGTTTGTGCCATCTTTCCATTGAATTCGGTTCAGTTCTTGTTCATCACTTCAGCTGAACAATTTTTAACTGTCATATTCAGGTTTATCATTAATTTCTTTTATTAAATGTTTTTGAAGGAAAGCAAAAAATATTTGATTTATCGCCTTTATTAGCCGATTACTTGGGTGGTACTTCCTCAACCGAATTTGAATTTGTTTGGTTTTATGTAATAATTTCAATCCAGCAATAAATCGTTACTAATTGTGTAAATGTACATAATTGTGATCGAGCTGTATTTTGCAGATTTATGAAGGTGATAATCTAGAAAGAGAGCATTCATTCTACATTCGTGGAGCTGATTCGACGGCTGGTCCATCAAGGTATGGTAAACTTACTGGAATGTATGCTCCATTTGGGCACTTTCTGAATGGGAAAACCTTGAGCATCAATTCTGATTTTTTATTCTCATGTAAGAATGTTTTTTTTTACAAAACAGCATAACTATTCCATGAAAGAGGCAGTTTTATGCAATCGAGTGAACATCAAATAATGAGAGGAAACTAATGGTACTTATTTAGTAGTTGATGGAAATGCCAACTTGCAGATGTCTTGAACTGATTGCGTTTAGTCAGAAAGAAAAGACTGATTGGATTGACGCTATTTGGGCCGTGATCAGTGAAAGTCTTTCTCGCAAACATTCGTTCAGCCCATCAGTTTCGGTAAACTTTCTTGACTCATAGTTGCATTAAGATTATTCTATATATGGATGTTTTAGATGCACAATGTGACATCACCACGCACCGAAAGTCGTTGTTGTGCGAAATGCGATACGGAATTTTCATTCATCTCTAGAGGTGTGCCGTGTTCACGTTGTGGTCAACGCTTCTGCAAGAAGTGCTTCGGTAGATTACGTGCCGAAGGGAAAACACGTCGTATTTGTGAACCATGTTCTCAACTCTTTGTAATTAACTTTTTTTATAATTTATATTCTATCAGAATATTTTCATTTACATCAATCTCTCTGCTTATAACAATCAAATTTGCAATAGGATCGAATGTTACAGGAGGTTGTTAAAGTAAACGATACCAATAAACAATCAAAAACTCGCATCAACCCACTCGCCGTTGCTGCCAAAAGTGGTGATATATTGCATGCGAGCGTTGTTACATTCAAAGGATCTTTGAACAGGCCGTTAACGAGGTACTTCGTGGTGCGTAAAGATTTCTGCCTATACTCCTATCAGAACGACAACGTTAGTCTTTCGTCGTTGGAATGCCAAAATTTTTCTCTTTGTTTTCTACGATGTGAACAATTCGTATATTTAAAATTGAATGTATTGTTGAGCATTTTGTTCTTCATTTGGTTGAAAATTATATGAGTGGTGTGAAAATTTATGTGCTTCGTAATCGATGAATATCACACAAAAAATTGGTACGTATGAAGTTATGTATTGCGTTCATCCATAAAATATTAAAGGATGATTGTGCATCTGCAATGCTACCATTGCCGGGTTGTGAAGTGAAAATGAGTGGCGAACGATTAACGTTCACGATAAGGCATGCTCAGCGACATTATACAGTGACGGTTGGTGATGAGCAAACACAGATTCGATGGATGGCTGTGTTGGATCTAGCTGCAAATGCTGTTCTCAAAGAGAAGACTAACCTATAGTTTTGTAACTCATCTGATACTGATAAAAATAATGATATTAATAATAATAATGATAATAACAATGATAATAATAATAATGAAATTAATGATTATGCATATGATAGAATTATTCGTTTATTTATGACATTTTCATATATGGTTTTTAAGCATGTTGTGATCTTTCTCAAAAATATGCTCATAATTCATATGATTGTGTGCTTGTTACCAGCAGCAATGTTTTTACAAAATATTCCCCGTTTTGGAAATATGATTGCCTCTTTTGGAATGCTGTTCATTATTTGAAAATTCTTTGTTCCTTCACTTCTGCATTTGCAAATCCTCCATAAAACAGATTAGTTATAGTCTGTATAGTTAAAGATCTCTCATGAAAACGTCCATCATTGAAAAAAAGCAATTGAAAAATAGGATATGAAAAAAGAAAGCAATCCAAAAACGTAAAATATTTCAAAAAGAGGCAAGTTTTCCCAACGTGATGAATAGATTACCAAGGAAAGCAGGTGTATTTTTTGGAGTGGAAAGTGCAGATCTCATAGGAAAGATAGCATATTTTTGAAGAATGAAAGAATCTCTCCGGAGACTTCGTGTGTAGAGTTGCATATTTGCTCGTGTTTGTGTTTGTTTCAATTGCATTCCTCAGGCTCTTTTACGATTTTACTTCCATCTTCCAATGTCATTTATTCATCGAACACAGTTTACTCCGAACTATCAAATGATGAAAACCATAACAAATTTTCCATTACCTCGTCTCAGCTTTATCATCGCTTCATCACCTCTTCTTTTGTATCAGTGTCTTACTTGTAAGATCTTCCACTTGAACGTCTAAGGTTACACGAATTAGGACACTACGATTATGTGAAGCAAAAGGGAAGATGTCAATACCAACCAATTAGTTGTTTTCTAAGTTTATCTTCTTATGCTCAACTCGGTGTGACGGTTTCTAGTGATCCTTCGATCCCTCAATAGATTCGAGTCCATTGAACACGTTTAATTCAACAGAGACGACTTCCATTCATTCTTTCATGTGCAAATAAGAATTTTACCTAATGACAGTTTATTACTTTTTCACGATAACAAAGGCCGTTCTCATTATGGCCTTTCTTCACTTACTTTGTGATAGGCACTATAGAACGTTCGTGCCGGAACTGAATAAAAAATTATTCGAGTGATGAACAATGCAAAAAGAGGTACTGAAAGGAAGAGTAAAACGTATACGAATTAAATGGAATTACCAATGATTAATTATTCACTTACGTTAGTATATAAACTGTATTCTACAATTTTGGATACTCTATGTCGAACTAGTACTTTTTACTTAAGAGTTCATATTTTCGTATTGGATACGATTTATTACACTCTACAAGGAATTAAAACTCATTTCTTTACGCATCGCTGGTGTTTTGAATCACATTTATGCAGTTGGAAAGAAACGTTTTTTGTCAATGTGCGAATCAAGAAATTGACTGTTGATTCACCAACAATCTATCATCTATAGCTTTGAGTTATTTTAGCGCTTAAGAAAAGAGGCAGCGTTTCCACTAAGACATTTTATTGTAACTCTGCATTCTAGTAATTTTTGTGATGAATAAGGAAAGAGCTGAAACCAAGTTTCTATAGGGTGTATCAGAATGAATCAAAAAGTGAATCAATAATGGAACTGCAATTGTGAAATTTTCTGGTATCGGAAATGTTGAAAAAATGTTTTGAGAAAAATGACTTGGCTTGGTAAGTAAATGTGTGGTGCATTCTCACTTGTTGCATGAGAGCGTTCTCGACTTTACGAGAGAACGTTCGACATGATAGTTTGCAACAATGAAATTTGTCTACTGTGATTCCGAACCAACTCATGCAAATTATAGTTGTCGATTGATAAGGCCGCAGATTTAGTCATAGACTGTGAACAACCAACCATGGGACAGTTGGAAAACTTGAATAAAATATCTTTAAAAAATTTGGTAATGCTCAGTGATGAAGTGAAAAATGAGAGGGGAGGAGAAGGAAAAATATTAAAATAGCGGGAACTGGTGAAGAGTTATATCAACGATAGAGTAATGTCTTATAAAATGTTCACCGACAAGAATTGTGTTTGAGAAGAGAGCAATCGCATAATAAGAATTAATGCTAAATAGATCAAGTGTAATCTCAACTGAAACGCTTAGCACGAAAAAGGAAATGTGTTATGTTATGTACACATCTAAACGCTTCTTTTATATTTTTGCAGTTTATGGAGCATGATTTAAAAATGTTAAGAGATGAGTGTCAATAGAACACAATCAACTAAACGAATAAATGGCACCCTGAAGGCAATAATAAAGAAATGAACGGATGAAATCGACTTTCTCGAGAAGTGTTAAAATCGACTTTTTTGGTTCTCATTCATATTTCCGGTTTTTCTGAAACGAAGTTACCGTAGAAAATCTAAATGCGGTATCTTTCAAGAAATTCTCATAGTTAGTGAATCGTTCATTTCCACATCTTTTTAGTAGGTCTGCGATTATATGGGATGGTAAGCTAAGATCTGCATTCACCACGTCATAAAGAAGCTGATTTTAAGACATTTTCCATTGCGAATAAGTAATTCAGCTGAAATGTCACCATCTGAAATGCCACCTATAAAAGCTTGATCATGAAAACCTATTCAAGTGATCATTGTCTAACGATACGGATAAGTGTGTTGCAACTGAGAAGCATAAAAAGCATTGACAGAACTGTCTTCGTCAACCCAGGGAGTGCTTCGACTCAAACGTCAGTATCAAACCGATACACAGCCACCATCGAATGGCGAGAGGGCGGTGTTGCATTCGCGATCATCTTCAAAATTCATTTCACTCAGTCACCATCATCACATCACATTACGCATCATAACGACAATCGCGTTTGTTGCACATTTACTCTGAGTATTACATGTTGCTTGCTCATTTGATATTTTTCGTCCTTTTACTTAGTTCTTATCACATCACGTTATCAACAGTTCTATGAACGAAATCCTCGTTCGGTGGATGCTATTGTAGCTGGACCTCATCTCTAAACATTTCAAAACCATTGTATATTTTCATGAGACAAAAATCACTTCAGAAAACTTCGCCTAATTATCTTTCTGCAGCTATTGAAAATCAGATTAGAAGAAATCGTATATATATAACTATGAAAGTAATTCTAAAAGTGCAGTCTTATCATTTTATCTTCATCAGTGTTTTGCAAATCTACCACGTGTTAACTCTATCAACTCAGCTGACAGCATCTACACAAGGTCAGTCAGTCAATCACGCGTGTTTATCTTACATCTTTCTCAACGATCCGTTTATTCATTCCATAATGTAGTTGTCGATTCACTCGAATTCCTTTATCATTACGTTAAATTGAATTTATGATCTTTGCTTCCAATTAACTGATAACAGAGTTGAATTTTTCTAATATCTAACATGAGCAGTCTGACAGTTCAAGTTCAAAAGTAGTGAAATATGTAAAAAGTTAACGAGGTAATATTGCAATCAGTTCTGTTTTTCGAAATCTTCCTAATTTTGAATGATTTTGTGTGCAAAGAGCTCGCTCATTTCAGAATGCCCATTTTTCTTTTTCCAACTTTCTTCATGTAGGCCGAAGTGACTTGTCTCACTTACACTGCTATAAATTTTTTTCCTATGAATTATTTGCCGATGATATGACATGTTAATTCGGAGCAAAACAACTTGAATTGACTCAATCATCACAGGCGACTACAGTCTGAAACAACTCTCCGTTTTCAAGAGAGCGATGCCTCATTTACTAAATTTGATCTCACTATCTGAACAACTGATTCGATATCCTTTTGATATCCCTGAAAATTCAGAAAATATTGACTCACCAGTTCCATCTCCACACAACATTTTTTGCTAACAATCATCAACATCCTTATTGTTCATTTCATAAGCAATTATTCAGGGGTGTCATACTGATAAATGTCAATGAATGAAGGTCCCATAATTTTCATCTTACAGAACATAACCTATTTTTTATTTCGCGATAACGACTCATCAATAGTATGAAATTGTTATTCTTTATGGTGGTCGTAAACCCGCCGTAAGGATGGATGCGCTCGTTGAAAAAACCATTAGAATTCATCTTTCGGTAGCAATCTATTGCAAAACACCTTCCTTCGTGATCACCATTAATGTTGAATTCAGCTTCGATAGATTCTATCGGCACACCTCTAAATATAACCAATCTAAGCGTTAAATTCTAACAAATAATTTTTTTTCTTTTGCACGTTGAAACTTGCATTTAGATATTTAACTTTAGCATTCCGTTCGCAGTCTACAAATAAACTCTAGAATGGGAAAATGATCAGCTGAGTAAATACAAAATTGAGATGCTCACCGATAATATGAATAATTGATTGTTCTGTTTTAATGAATAGTATTCAGAGTCTAGTAAACCTTTTCATTGGATATTTCAAAAAGTATATTATTGTATCATTTTTAGACTGGTCACAACTAATCCAGAACTGCGGTTGCAAAAGGCAGTTTAGACCGGTTTGCGCGAGTGATGGAAACACATACAATAATCTGTGCTCGATGTTCTGCAACAAACAGACGAATGTCGGTAAGCTCATTTTTGTAGCACTGAGCACCGATTATCATGCTGCATAACTTTTGCGTTTTATCATCGCATTTTATCCTTCAATTTGCTCACAAAGAAATGATAATTATTCGGAATTTAACCATTTCAGATATTCACCTTTTGTACGAAGGAGTTTGTTGCCCACGACCCTCATGCCCATCATACTTTGACCCAGTATGTGACAATCAAGGTTAGTTGTAAATTAAATTAAGTAAATCAAATAATAATAAAATTCTCATGTTCCTTGTGATTTAATTTAGTTATAATATATCCTATCAAATACAAATTTTCGTTCCCTAGAGATCCTCACTGAAATATTCTATAAACTGAATATTTTTTTAGGGAACACGCACACCAATGAATGTATGTTTCGGTATGCAGAGTGTTTAGTTCGAAGAAAACGAAATGAAGTGTTGCAAATCGTTTATTACGGCTCTTGTTTGAACAACGATCCATGTCAACGTGAATGTCACCAGGATGATGAACCGGTGTGCGATTCTGCAGCAATAACGCATCCAAATATGTGCACGTTGGTTCATGATGATTTTGTGCACTTTTTAATTGGTTCATCGCGCCTTACAGTCTTGTTTTTCCAGTACAACCCTTTGCAGTTGCCCTGTTTCCGCCACTCAGCAGTTGGGATGCGATAATTTTGAACTATAATGATGTTATACGCGAAAAGACGTAACTGAAAGTGATACTATTGCTCTTATTTCCTCGTCAATGAAAGAAGACACATTCAGATTTGAAAAATTGAATTGTCAAAGAGCTACTAAAGGTGAACAATTGCGAACGATCGCTCATATCGGCCGATGTGATTCAATTACTATTGGAAGCGAACAAGTAGTCGGAGGTTTCTCAACGATGAATTCTCGCATATTTTAAGAAATATTCTCGTTGTTTGTGCCATCAACATACCATGAACCTTCTAATGATCTACTTTTCAGATAATACAGATCGTTCCAAAATCAATGGATCAATGAATGATTCAAGTGTAATTTTCCACCCAAAGGTGCAAGTGAATACGCAAAATGAACCACATTTACCTTCGAATGTTTTATCTAACAGGAGTGATAAAATAAGCAACGTTGATCAACGAATTTCAAATACTAAACAAGTGGTCTCCTTTGATGCAGATAGAAATTCGCTCCGAATGGAGAATATGCAGAACTGGACCGAACTTGAGCACAGAACATATGTTGAAACGAGCATATTACCAACATCATTCTCATTCAATGAAGTGCAGCAAGAAAATAACGGCTCGCTCATTGTAAACAATGAGAAAAGTGACTCGATAATGGTCAAGAGTATCGAAACGGTATCACCTATGCTGAATGAAATTCCCTATGATAACAATGCAAAAATTATGAATCTACCAACAACAAGTCATCCTGAAAATGCTTTGCTGCAAATGCTCAATGAGAATGGTTTAATAAGGTCGCTCAAGTTACTTAACCAAACTACAACGCAACACGATGAGAACCCGCATGTTTCGATCGAAAGTGTTAATAGTGAGACGAAAGATGGCGTCATCCAAGAGCAAATAAAAGCGATTATGCCGAAGTGGGAAGCTGACTATGAGAGCGTTACGAATCACACTCAATATGACAGCAAACAGCCACCCTTGTTCATAACACCACATCGAAACACTTCCACTGCTTTGACCTCTACTGATGAAAGTTTCCTGAATTGGAGTAGAAGAAAAAATCAACCTTGGCAATATCTCGCCAACAATGCGTCACCTCCAAGCATAGTCAATCGCAGTTTATCGGATAGTGTTGCAGAAAACTTGAAAGAGCTTGCAACAGATGTTATGCCTATTTCTGAAACGTTCATTCCAGAAGAACAATATAAAATTAATAGTGATCCAAAATTTGCATCTTTCGATGAAATTAACATCAATTCATCGACGTCTGTTGGGGATTTGGAAGTGACAGCAACAGCGGCAACATTCGCCATATCAACAATAAACGATTCGAAATCGTCAGTTAGGAACACTCATACAAGCAGTCAACATGTAACCGATTCAGTCTTCAGTAATCAGGGTGATTCCACTAAACAAATTATGATTGATAACAATGATGGTTTTTTGAATATTAATCAAGCAAATGATAATGAATCGATACCAAGCGACAATGCAAAATCATTCGAATTTAATTCTGACACCAGTGATTATGCACTACCAGTTGGTGGTGGTGGTGAAACGATTGCATTTGATGGAACGATGTTCAATGGTCAGTTACTTGCTAATCAAACAGTGCACACTGATCCAAAAAGTGATCCGAAAAAATTGCACCCTTCCGACAGAATTGAGCACTTAAAACAGAATCAAGCCAGCATGCTCACATATACTGAAGGTGATGCTCAAATAGGAGTCAACGCTCCATATGAAATTAATAATTCGTGTAGGTTTTTTGCTCTTTGCTATTCAAAATGTTTCAATCGTCAACGATGGACTAAACGAGCTCTCACGGAATATTTCCACAATTCTTTTTTTTGCCCAAAGTGATATTATAATTTTTCATCATAAGTTTTCGCCTACAATGAGGTTATAAGTTAGTGATGATGCATGAACGGGAGACTTTCTCAGTTAGATCACTGCTTTTGAATGGAGAAGATGAGTTTATGTTTGAAAAGAATAGAAACGAAGTTGTGATTGAAGAACGATGTGTTTTATTGAGCAATCGAAATGAATCAAGCAGATCACTCAACAAAAGAATTCGAAGTGAAATGCAATCAGTCAGTGTCTTCAAACAATGGCACTCGTGGAAAAATCACTGAAGTTTATTTGAATCGATTCATAGGTGCTCTGCAGGTGTGTTTCAACGACTTGCTCATTTGATGAAATGCACTAGCTAAGACAGAACATATTTTTTGATTTTAACCTTCAAAACTTCGAATTTTCATCGAAATATTAGAATTTTGGAACCATTCATTGAACAATCGAAAAAAAAAGATTTCACGCTATATCCAGCGATGGCCGTAGTAATCTGATTACATGATCAAAGTATTCTTCAGATATTCTATCATATTTGTATTTCTAGTTCGTTGAAGAGCCGAAATAACTGGATCTTTAAAGCAATATGCTGTGTTTCACTAATGGAACTTTGTGTTCCAGGCACACGAAGGGATGCCATGTTCGGCGGTAAACTGTACCAAAACGTTTGAACCGGTTTGTGACTCAAACGGACGAACACATAAGAATATATGTCTGTTTTACTTTTATTTGTGTAAACTCCAAAAACTGAATGGACGACATGTTCGAATTGTTCATGAAGGAGGATGCGAGAAGGTTGCTTCTGTGCATTTTCATTTTCACGTGTTGTCAATCGCTGTGTTAATCCAACATTTATCAATCATCTTGATTCAAAGGCAATGGATTATGACTCTCCATTTCCTGTCCAGTCGATGTAGTGCTTTATAGTAATTCTCAAACTTCTACATATTAACGTCACCCATTTTGTTGTTTTACTTACCCACGTTCTTCCCTTTCCAGCCGTAAAAACACTTATTTGAAAAGATCTACGAGTTCAGAGAAATCTGTGGAGGAGTGTTCTGGCAGTTCGTGCCTACAGACAGTTTGTAGTTGTGTTGCTTATTCCTGAAGGTTATGTGATTAAGCTCTTGACAGAAGAAAATGTTTTCTTGTTTTAAAAAACTCTTCGGCCTTTTTCCCCATCGCTCCTCCTCCCTAACCCCCCCCCCCCGCTCCTCTCCTCCTGTCTACCTGATTGTCACCGTCTTACCAGTTTCTTCTATCACTTCATCTGAAATCACTGGAATGAATGTTATCGTTTTTTGAGCATTCAAAGCGGACATCACCTGAAAGAATACAATCAATTTGCGGATCATGTGCTAATGAAAGCGAAATAATCGCAGTCTGTGACAACATGAATGAAACACATCAAAGTATTTGTAAATTCAACCGTTTTAATTGCCAACAGCGAATCGCAAAACATGAACAACGTGTGCTCATTCACTTGGGGAAGTGCCATCATGACTCGCCAGTATTCAGCCTCACTCGAGAGGTGAATTTATGATCTTCCATTAATTTATCTTCAACGAGCAGCTCATTTCCACTGTACATGGAGAACATTATAAAAATGCTTGTAACTAATAAAAATCAAGTGTTTTTTTTCTCCCAAAGCATTTCAGGAATTTTTGTTGTCAATTTCTTGCTAACATAAGCAAAATTGAGCATTCAGTTGCGATTAACAGTTTTTTTGAGAAACGATAATGTACAGCTGTGCTCTGTTGAAAGCAGATCAGATCTATTTCAACTAATACTGATGGCAAAGGGAACAGATAGGTGAAAAGAATTTCAGGTATGTCCGACGAAATGCTCTCGTGAATATAAACCCGTTTGTGATAGTCATCAGATAACCCATCCCAACTTATGTTCCTTCCAGATGTACAATTGTATATCAAGAAAGCAGGTGGATTTATTTCATTGATATTTTTACTGCGTTATTGCCATTTGCTTTGGTGCTTTGCAAACTGTAGGTGCGTTAGGTATAGCAGTAGATTGACATCACTATAGCAATTACTTTCGATTTCAGACACGGTGGTTTTGTGACTTTGTTGAAAATAACAATAATAATAATAATAATAATATTATTATTATTATTATTATTATTATTATTATTATTATTATAAATGACAATAAATTATAATGATGATAATGAAAATAAATAAAAACAATAAATGATAATAGTATTCAAGCCAGTAATATCAGCCGATAATCAGTAAACGCGCTATGTATCATTCACTTGAACGACATTTTGGCTTGCCACATTCGGCTGCAATAATGACATTGAAAACTGATTATGATGAGACACAAAAATCTACTCAAAAATGAGGGATCAGTATTCATTCAAAAGTGACTGATTCTCTATCCATATGCTTGGAATATAATATTTGACATGAAAAGTGCAGTGCAGTTTCGAAGTGCAGTGATCGACGATGAATTTGTTATTTTAAAACTGAAAATGCTCACCTGCATGATGAAGTGAATTTTCTGAGTTTCAGCAGAAAAAAGATGTAGCATTTTTGATAAGATTGCATGAGTGTAAAACGGAGTTTGTTCCCGACAAGAAAGCGAACCTACACGATGTTAGTTCGATAAAGCATACAGATACGTCTTCGAAGGTTAGCACTTGGTATTTCTATTGAGCTATCCAAAAAATATCTTTCGAACAATCAGGTCATATACATCCACACTGTGGTAGAAGCTCATCAGAATAGGCTGAATATTGTACTGAGCTACCTTATTTTGAATTAAAACGATTATCATGAGTAATTTACGGCCCTTTATTATTATACGAACTGTATGAAAATTGCGATGCAACGAAATTTGCACATTCTAAATTCACTTCTGTGAGCAGCTTAATGTAAGAAGGAATAGAAAGTGATTGGCAACGATCAGTTGAAAGACTCATCAATCAAAATCTATTCGCTCGTTCCCATTTTGACATTATAGTCAACAAAAATTTTCCTGGAGTATACAAAAATTATGAATCATTCACTGATGAATAATATGTATGGTGAAACATGAAACACAATATTAACAAATTTTCCGATGGATTTAGATGACTGAATATCTTGCGTTAATCGATAAACTAGTATTTCTTAGAATCAATTCGAGTGTCCTCAGCCACGATGCAGCCAAGAACAGAGCCCAATATGCGATAGTAAAGGCAAGATTCATCGGTATGTGATTGCTGTAAAAATGTATTTGAGAACACTTGCATCTTTCAAATAATCTCGAACTTCAGTACTGATTGTGATAACCAAGGATGCGTGTGCAAGATGCACCACTTTTTTGTATCATCTTCAAAGGTATCTATCTCTTAGAAAAAATTGTTCTTGAAGTGTAACGTTTCCACGAAGGATGGAACAGTGAGTGTAAGCTGTTCATCATTTGTCGTTATGAATGGGTAACAGTTTGCAAAAATATTGTGAACCGAACTGAAAGATACATTGGTATAAAGGTGTCAATTCACTCGAATAAAGATCCTGCATGTTGCATCACCTTCGTTCAGCAGTAAAATAATTTTTTCAACGATGGATTAGTACGGAACACAGAACTGTTACCTAACGCATATGAAATAAAAATTGATCCATAAAAAGCAAAACAACTGCAGCAATGCGAAATATCAAACACGTTCTCAAACTTTTAGCAATGAATGTATGTTCGCATGGTCACGATGCATTGCTGCACAAAATGGTATCACCTTAACAATAATGCCAGAAAGTGACTGTGAACACTTTGATTGCATGCAGAACTGCTCGAATGTCTATCAGCCAGTATGCTCGTCTGATTTTATCACATATCCGAATCGATGTTTCTTTCAAAAAGCCAAATGTTTCAACAATAACATCGAAGTTCTTTTCAATGGTACATCTCATATTTGATCTATTTGTTTAACTCTTCATTTTTTACAATCGACGCAATGTTCCGTTCCTTCAAATTTCTCTATAAAGCAATTATTCATAGCGGCTTTGTATCCCATCTAACATTCACAGGATAGTTATGCTGCTTTCCCAACAGTTTATCAAAGTTTCGATGTATCTGGAATTTAGGAGAATGCCGCGATTGTCTTCCGGAGCCTTGTCCATCTGTCAGCGGAAATGAACTGGATTCTAGCTTTGTGTGTGATCAAAACGAACAAACCAAGCTGAAATGTGAATTCGAAATGCTCAGATGCGTTTATCAAAAGAAATATGGATACAATATCTCTGCAGCATACGTATCCTTCTTTTTCACTTTGTTTCATACGAAGTCACATTATTTAAGTACCATTCTTAATATTTGTAAGCACATACTTCTGGCTCAATATATTAGGAGTTCTAAATTTGAAATAATCACAGGCATCTGCTTCACTGGAGAAATGTGGCAGCCTTCAAAGCTCTTACAGGAGTACAAGCACATCTGCTTGAATGGCTCGGGATTAGGCTCACGTACAGGCTTGGAATAAACTAAAATATAGCTGGGCTTGTGCACTCATATGAGTTTTACAGGTTGCCATAAAATGTTGCTGAAACGACATATTAAATGTGTGAGGTGAATTAAGGAAGGTCGGTGTTGTGCATCAGAGGATTTGTGTGCAGATAATGTAAACGAAGTGTGCGATTCGAATAGTCAAACACATAAAAACATGTGTGTGTTCGAAGCAGTCAGATGTCGATTATTAAAACTGAATGCAACCAATTTGTTTATTGCGAGCAACGGGCCATGTGAAATTCTACAAACTACATCAGAAATCATCACACAGTCCACTCAATCGCCTGAAAATGGTTAACGATGTTCAGTGACAGTTAAAAATGGTGCAGTTGATAAACATCAGATGAAATTCATTGATTACGTTTTCAGCTATTGATTTATTGATGAGCAAAAATGAGCAGCAAGCAATGGAAAAGTGTTCTCAGCAAATTGTGTGCAGTCAGCGATATGAGCCTGTTTGTGGAAGCGATTCGATAACGTATCCAAATCAGTGCACATTCATGTTAGCCAAATGCAATTCCAGGTTTATTTCAATTCCTAAAGTGATAATATTGTGAATGACGAATATGAATGTTTTGGTTGTATTCAATGAAAAGCGCATTAGCTTAGAGCTACAACCTCACTGATGTTTGGAATATTATAACGTGCAGCAAAAGCAGTGCTGTATAATTTTTATTGTTGAAGTACTTGAATCACTAACAGTTGCTGGGAATGAAGATCCGAATGTAGATGAATGCATTGATTAGCTGAACTATTTCCTGAACATAATAATAATGATCGAGGAAATCATAATAATGTTGATAATAACATCAGCAGTAGCAGCTCTTCATTGGTTGTCGCATACAAAGGTGAATGTTGTACAAGTTCATGCCCAGGTGATTGGCAGCCAGTATGCGATAATCGTCATGTTACACACGAGGTACTCGTTTATAAAAAACGGTTGACTTAATGTAAAGTATATTCCATTGCGAGTACATTCCTGTTGGATGCAATACTCTGCAATTGTGATGACATCCGACCGGTCGGAAAAAGTCAACAGTTTCGGTCGGAATTCCGACATTTGGATTCCGACCGAACAATATGAAAGGTCGGTCGGAATTTTAACTGTCGACAATTCAAGATGCCAACTCGGTCGGTTCTGACCGAACAATTCTGACCGACCATCGGAATGATAAAATTTCATGTTGGTTGGATGGATTCCGACCGACATGAAATTTCGTCCGGATCCCATCACTACTCTATAATATTGACAGAATTACGCGGGAGAGGGACACTAAAATGACATTGACCAGTTATTCTAGGTAATTCAATAATTTCCCTTCAATAGAACGCTTATCAATAATTCGTTAAAGCAAAATACGTTTCCATGGGCATTTTCGATAGCTTGGATAAATGGCTTCAAAATAGTCAATTTTAAAGCAACGAAATGATGAAATGAAATATTTTGAACAGAACCTATGTGAATTTGGTGTTTATCGTTGTTTGATGGAACGAAATGGTCAAACGAATATAACAATTCTAAATTATGGTGCTTGTCCACACGACCAATGCGTAAAGCGTTGTCAACAAATTTATGAACCTGTTTGTGCATCTAACGGTAAATATTGCTCTTCATATCGTTGTTTAGCAACGAAATACATTCTATATACACTTCAAGAAATGGCGATTCGATCAGCAAAAATATGCAAATCGGTGAACAAGAAAGTTTAAAATTATTTCCAGTAAACGATTACTAAATCAAATAGAAGCAATAATGCTTTTAGGCTCATTTCAGTCACTTATTATCTGCGAACAGTTTTATCGAATATTCTTCAGTGTATGACTGGGTAAATTTAGCATGTGTTTGTTAATGAACTTATTCTTGGTATAATAAGTTGCACTCATATAGGATGACGAACTTCAGTATGTGTGATTAAGCACTAAATTAGCATTTCTTCATCGAAGAATTGTATCAAAAAAATTAATGATGAAATTAAAGGTAGAACATACAAGAATGAATGTGAATTCAACAACTTTTTATGTGTTCAAAAGAGGAAAGGGATTATCGCGAAACAGTCAGTTCATCTAGATTATAAAGGTTTTGAACGAACATTTCAATTATTGTTCAGCATCTGTGAATGATGACGCCTCATTCATTTGCAATAACATCTCTTAACTAGGATGCAGCAAACTTCTGAACCACAACTACTCGCAAGTGATCATGTTTTATCACTGTTCATTCGTTGTGTGAAACTCATAACGAAATTTGAAAATGTGCAACACTTGTTTGCCTTCCAAATATTTTTGCACGCATCTGCGTCACCGGATTTGTTTACAAATTTATGGTCTTGTTGAAATTTACAGGAGAATGTTGCCATGACATCAAATGTGATTCGATATTCAGTCCTGTATGTGACAACGAAGGTAGGACACATGTGAATCGCTGTGAATTTAATCGATCCGCATGTTTGACGAAAAAATTGAGCGGAAAATTTTTGACGGTTCAGTACGATCGTCAATGTTGCAGTCAACCATGTAGCAATGAAATTAAGCCAGTGTGCGACGGTGAAAGAACATATGATAATCTTTGTAAATTCAGGTATTCAATTTTATCGTTTTATGAGCACGCGATTATTCAGCGCGCGATTTTATAAGTATTAGGTCTAGTAGAAAGTTCTCGGGCAGCTACGCTGGCAAACTGATATAATGAAACATTGCGTTTCATTGTAGAGTTTTTGTATCTAGTGTTATACGTCGTTTTGTAGCCCATTTTCTGCGCTATCCAAATATGCCCATACTTGGTCTTCATTCTTTTAATTTGGAGACTTTAGGAGTATTGAATCAGGGCTATGGATAAGATGATAATTCACGGAATTATGCTTTATGAATTCAAACTTGGTCGTTCGAGCAGGGAGGTGACGGCTAATATCAACAATGCATTTGGGGAGGGAACCGCTTCCAAATCTACAGTTGGGGATTGGCTCAAGAAGTTCGCTGTCAGAGGAATAAATCTCGAAGTTGAACCTAGGTCGGGTCACACTTCAGACCTCATCAACAAAGAATTGAAAAAGGTGGTGGAGTCAGACTCCGCTTATTCTCAGGCACAGGTGGCGGACCAACTTGGTGTCTACCAAAGAACTATTTCGACCCACCTACGACAGATGGGGAAGGTCAAGAAGTTGGATCGCTGAATTTCGCATGAACTGGACGAAGCGCAACAATTCAGACGTTTGGAAATTTGTTTTTCATTGCTGCTCAGAAGCAACAGTGATTCATTCCTTGATCGAATTATCACTGTGGATGAAAAGCGGATTGAATATGATAATCGGCGGAGGTCAGCCCAACGGCTGGACGTAGGTGAGCCACCAAAAATGATGCCAAAACCGATACTACACCCACGGAAAATCATGCTCATCGTTTTCTGGTGTACCACCGGTGTTGTGCATTTAGAATTCCTTGAACGTGGGCAAACCATTGACGCCCAATATTACTCTCACACTCTCGAGGTAGCAAGAGATCAGTTGTTGAGAATAAGGCCAGCATTGATGAACAGAAGTGGTCCGATCCTTTTACAGGATAACGCCAGACCACACGTGGCACGAACAACATTGCAAAAAATTCACCAATTGGGTTTCTAGGTTCTGCCTCATCCAGCTTACTCGCCCGACCTATCCCCAACAGATTACCACCTTTTCAAAAATCTGGAGCTCTTCCTGCGTGGGAAGAACTTCCCAAATGAGACCCTACTAAAAGCTGACATCCGCCGAGTTTTTGATCCCAGGGACCCCGGTTTCTACGCTGCGGGAATAAGAGCCCTGGTTTTGCGTTGAGAACATTGTGCAGGGGCGAATGGTCCTTATTTTGAACAAAAATGTTGATTTTGAACCGAGTTATGAAACTTTGAAATTTTGGGTCTAACTGCCCGGAAACTTTCTACTAGTAATTCTGACCACGAGATCATCCGAAGTACAAATGAAAATGAGATGACTCCTTTATAAAATCGTGAAAAAAAAACAGTTGTACCTAACGATCAGGCACGGGACATTCATCATCACTGAAACAGTCCATTATATAATAAATATCCTATCACTAGTTGGTGAATGAGTTTTTCATGTTCTTCTCATAGGTTTTTGGTAGCATCGTCAAACTTTAACACATAAAATTGAGTTAGTTGGTGTGGTGCAAAACGATCCTGGTAGAGTTGGAATATTCTTGATCGCATGTGGTGAAAAAAATGAGTGTTTTTTCAGGATAGCACAGTGCGAGGCCGAAATGAAAGGTGAAGTAATTTTACTCGCTTATACGGGTCGATGTTGCGAAGAAGAAACTGGGGAATGCTCAATGTCAGGTGCAGTCTGTGATTCGGAAGGGCAGACCCATTTGAACATGTGTCAATTCTTGCGAAAGCAGTGTGAATACAGTAGGCGTCGACAACCTCAAACTGTTTCGATTGTGCATCGCGGTGGGTAGAAATTATTTCATACTCAATCTCTGCTAGTCATCATAACATTGATTTTCATGTTTATCATCAGTCTTAACCAAACCAGCGCATAGTAAAACAAATTGTACAGTAAGAATAGTCAGCGTGCCATGGAATGCGCAGTGGAGACTTAATGTAGTATTTATTGATCAGCTTTCGACGATAACTCAACAATAATATTTGGTCAGCCTGACCCACAGCGTCTGCATACAATATTCAATCTTCGACGAATAATAGCATTAATGAATCACGGTAACAATAACTTCACAATAACAATTATATCCCAATATCACTATGATTGACTTGACGTTGACAATATCGAGCATACGTTCTCTAATATGAATACGAACGCGACCACGATCCTCCGTCTTCCATGCTTAGATACCTCGTTTCACATCCGTCCTGAAATTCATTGAATATATTTTCTCATAACATTTTGTTGTCGTTTAGCCATCGCTCGTGGGAATCTTTTGCCTGTAAGATTTGAATTAAAGATATTAAGTACTTTTTTTGGGTTGTATTTCAAATTCTTTGGATTTAGATTTTATGTTTTGAGAATAAGGTGCTTGACTTGGTCACAGTACAATGACTGTGCGTGTAAGTACGAAAATCCTATTGATAATCATATAAGCGAAACTTTAAATGACATTCTATGAAGAATGTCAGTAGATTACCATGAATCAATCTTCTCGAATAACACAAAACCAGTAATTTTTAAAATGTTCACTTTGAGAGCGAACCATATTATTTTGATATGAAATCAGCATTTAAATCCTTCGATAACTTCTGTAACTCGTGCTCAAAAGCGTTATTCTAATATATGGAATGATGGCACTTTCAGAGCCAGATTATGAAATTTATACTGTGATGCTTTGCTGGCTTAACAATCTCGTATTGATATTATGAAGTGCTGGATTCCCATCTATTAAGTTTGGGAAAGGGGTGAAGGATTTTGGTGAATCACAAAGCGATTCACTAAAATCGCAAAGCAAAGAGTCGATCTCGGAAGGGGCAGCAACGGAGCCTTTGCCTTATTTTGCAAACCTAGAACCTGTAACATTAGTATGAGAGTCCGTAAGAAGCCTTTATTACAAATCATCCCATTATATCACCACAAATATAATATTTAATGTTTCGCCATTAGGGTAGACTGATAATTCATATCACAATAATCTTCATTCTATGGATAATGGAGTGAACAATTGCTTAATTCATAACGAGTTTTCCCGATAAGTACCATAATATTTCAGTCTTCCCAATATCAAGCAGCAATATATGGGCAATAAGGTGCCATGCCATTGACTTATTCAGCAGTCGGAAGTTGATAAAAACAAATGATCAGTACATTTCTGTAGCGGTGATAAGTAGTCGTCGACTGGAGTGAAACGTTTAGTACGAAACCGAATCGATATCGACATCGTTAATTAATTTTCCAGACCTAAACCAACTCCTCGTTGCTTCGTCAGGAAGATTGCATAGAACTCGTCGCC